TTTACTTGGGATTTGTCCCCTTCTATGAGAATGTCAACACTTAACTATAGAAAGCAGAACTTTGTCTATCTTGACCATGTAATATTCTCATTAGTGCCTGATACAGAGTTGGTGCAAAATAAATATTTGCTGAATAAGTCGATGGGTGAACTAATGAATTGGGGCGTGACTAGAGAATTGGACCTATGTGTGTGTTCCTCAATAGACGGATGGTAAGTTATAAAATTTACAGAAGTTCTGTTTCTCTGGAAAACGTTTGTATATTGGCAGAGAGGAAGAACTGATGCTAGAAAAACAAGAGCCAAATCCTAGAGTTCTGTTTCTGTAATGTCATGGTGTAGAGTGTCTGAAATCTCTTTTCTGGTCAACGGATAGCTACTGGAGATTTTTGAGCAGGCGATGTGTGCTTTAGCAATGCCTCCTTTATTACCAGTTATGGAAAACTCCTGTGTCAGAAGCGCCTCGTTCACTCACAGGTTCAAGGACAGTGTAACTTCTGAATGTCAGCAGGCTGTTGATTTAGTCAATGTTCATTTCTTTTTCCATACAGCATGACTGCCACGTAGTCATGCTTCTGGGCTGGCAAAAGGAAATGTTTGCCTTAGTTCTTGACAGCTTAAGATGAAATGACCCAAGGCTTCTTGAAGACGTTTTTACCAATATTTCTCACACTTCAGTGGCGTCCCTTAAAAAGTCAATACCATCCTTATGTCAGACTATTCCCCTTTCCTCAATTGTTCTTTATTTCACAATTTATTTTTCTAATGCATAGTTGCCCTCATATTAGAGTTACTCGCTCTTGTGGTTTGTTTTAATTAGGTCTTAAAGGAAGTCCAGTTTAGAGCCTTTAAATGCTGTGTGTTCTTGGTTTGTTTCATTGGAGGAGTGGGTAGGTCCTTCCTTAGCTGAAGCCTACTACTGACAAAGCCTTGTAATAACCTCTATCTAATCATATGACATTATATATACCATGCACATGTTTATGTGGACTTTTCTTACCACTTTGGATGTGTGTATTTAATTTCTAAAATGGAAGACAGAGATATCAAACTTCCTGTTAAAACAGTGGTTTATTTTATAGACCCTGGCAGCAAATTCTAGTTTCCTAAACTGGTTCACAATAATTTAAAAGCCAGGACCAGTTCATGAAGTTTTATGGTTCAACCTTAAGTCATGGAATCTTTTTTATAGATTGTAGTGTGTTCAATTCTGGACTATAAAGGAGGAAGGCACCATATAAGCAAAACATCAAATTTAAGAAAAGGACCCAGTTTGTCAGCATTGACTGTTTTCAAGAGCTAGTGAATCACATTCATTGTGATAACCACATTGGAAGCTCTCAATACGAATGATGATTTCAGAGAAGTTTTAATTAAACATACAAAGTTTTAGTACCTTATAGCAGGGATCCGCAATCCCTGGGCCATGGACCAGTACCAGGCTTGCTATGAACGGGCCCGCACAGCAGGAGGTGAGCCTTACCACCTGAGCTCCGCCTCCTGTCAGATCAGTGGAGGTCTTAGGTTCTCACAAAGGCACCAAACTTATTTTGAAGTGTGCATGTGAGGGACTAGGTTGCGTGCTCCTTATGAGAATCTTGCCTGATGATCTGAGGTGGAACACTTTAATCCTGAAACTATCCCAGTGCCCCATCCATAGAAAAATTGTCTTCCATGAAACCGGACCCTGGTGCCAAAAAGGTTGGGGACCACTACCTTATAATTTATGACGCATACTCACATGTAATAGACCTAACTTATGTATAAAAGATTTACTTCTTACAAGTTTTTTTCCTTCATTTCTAAGACATACCATAGATATAATCTATATGTAAAGTAGGTAGAAAACTAAAAGATTAATACATCATTTGATCCATAATCACAGAAAGCTCTAATGGGAGAAGCAAATATACTAATGCATATATAAAGTACAGAATGATAAGCACCAATAGAGGAACAGGGTTGAGATGATCCTGTGGTGCCTAACTATGGCTACCTGGATAGGAAAGGGTTTCTTAGAGAAAGCAGGATTTAAGCTTGGCCTTATAGGACATGACATATTTCAGTAAGAAAAGACAGAGGGACAAAGATTCTCTAAGTCAGTGGAATACCTTGAGCCAAAACATGAAAGTAGGAAAATTAAGAACATAAATATTTATTTGTGTTCTGTCAACTTTAACATCTAGTGCTATAGAATCAGAGTATGATAGTACTAACCTATTTAAATTATCCTCTTAAATTATGTGTTCATGAGAGCTATAAACTCTAGTCTTTGTTAATGGGAGCATATTCACGTCCTTGAAACAAATCATTTATAAATGGTATGCTATTTTTTTTCTAGTGCTCAAGTGATTGCTGAACACATTCATGTATATTTCATAGTTGAATCCTTCCAAAATCTTACATAGTAAATGATGGTATGTAGTTGTTTTGAGCATTTTTTTTTAGGGAAAGTTAAAGCACCAATGTTTAAACAACTTTTTCCCGGTTTACATGGCTGGTAAATGCAAACTCACACACAATTTTGAACCTTTTCTTTATCCCTATATAGTTATTATTATGTAGATGCATACAATTTGTATTTATCTATATCGATGTGTAAGAAACTGAGAAAATTAACATTGAGAAAGATGAAATCCAAAATTAGTGATTTTGACAATCAAAATAATTCTGGGTGCACAGAATGGAGAACAAAGATAAAAGTAGAACGAAGAGCTCATTTCCAGCAAGGTGTGATTGAAAGGAAAGCCAGTAACTGAGAATATGCAAATTACATTTAAAAAGGGAAGGCTTGACTATTATTGGATGAAGTTAAGGATGTCAGGTCTTAAAACAGGGCAGTTTATGTTTCATGTTAAGAGTTGATTCTTTATATTTCACAAGACAGCAGTGACTGGGGACTTGTGAGTCTACTACTTTTACTTTTTATTAATTGAGTAGTAAAATTTTCAAAGGCAGATGCAGTTGAATCTTATATGCTATTCTGTGATTTTACATTGTTCAATATGATTAGTTTTTATTTCTTCAAACTTTAAAATGGATTGAGCATATTTTAGATTCCACCATGAAGAAGAAACTAATGTGAAGTTTTATTTTTCTGATGTGATGTAAATGGATCTGTCTATTGAAATTCTCCATACTAAAGCATATGTAAATATGTGAGTGGGTGGATCACGAGGTCAGGAGATCAATACCATCCTGGCCAACATGGTGAAACCCTCTCTCTACTAAAAATATATAAATTAGTCAGGCGTGGTAATGTGCACCTGTAATCCCAGCTACTCAGGAGGCTGAGGCAGCAGAGTGGCTTGAACCCAGGAGGCAGAGATTGCAGTGAATGGAGATCATGACATAGCACTCCAGCCTGGGTGACAAAGCAAGACTCCGTCTCAAAAAAAAAAAAGTGTTAAAAGGGGTAAATTAATTCCATTTTATTAAAAATGTAGCATTGATTGTTATATGAAGATCATTGTATTAGGTATTTTAGAAGACAGTTTGCAGTGTCTGTGTAGTGGTTGTTAAAAATTCCTTTTTATTAATGAGAATCAAATATTAATGAGAATCAAAGTTGTAAGTTTAGAATCAGATATCTCAAAGCTGTGTGGTAGAGCATTTTATGTGTGTACTTAGCATCTTTTATGCATTTAAATGATTTACCATTTTAATTTTTTTAAGTTTTGTCTTTTTTAAATTGACACATAGTAAGTATACATAATTATGGGTACAGTGTGATGTTTCCATGTGTATTTATTGTATGATTATTAAATCGGGATAATCAGCAAATCTGTCTCCTATAACATTTATTATTTATTTTGATGAAATCGTTAAAAATACTTTCTTCTAGCTATTCTGAAATATGCAATATGTAATTGTTAACTATTGTCATCCTACTCTGCAATAGAACATCAGAAATTATTCTTCTTATTTAACTGTAACTTTGTGCTCTTTGACCAACTTCTTCCCATCTCTCCCTTTCCTGTGTTTCCCAGCCTTGGTAATCACCATTCTACTCTCTACTTCTATTTGATCAACTGTTTCAGATTCCATGTAAGAGTGAGATCATGTGGTATTTGTCCTTCTGGCTTATGTCACTTAACATAATATCCTCCAGGTTCATCCATGTTGTTACAAATGCTGGGGTTTCATTAATTTTTATGGATGAATAATATTTCCATTGTGTATATGTAGCACATTTTCTTTATCCATTCATCTGTTGGTGGGCACTTCGCTTGATTTCATGTTGTGGCTATTATGAATAGTACTACAATAAATGTGGAAGTACAGATACAGCTTCAACATACTGACTTCATTTCCTTTGGATATATACCTAGCAGTGAGATTGCTGGCCCATGTGATAGTTCTACTTTTAATTTTTCGAGGAAACTCCATACTGTTGTTCATAACGGTCTTGCTAATTTACATTCCTCCCGACAATGTGTAAGAGTCCCCTTTTCTCCGCTTCCTTGTCAACACTTGTTATCTTTTATCTTTTAGTTAATAACCATTCTAACTGGAGTGAAGTTGTATGTCATTGTGGGTTTGACTTGCATTTCCCTGGTGATTTGTGATGTGGAGCATTTTTCCATGTACCTGTTGGCCAATTGTATATCTTCTTTTGAGGAATGTCATTTCAGATCTTGTGCCCATTTTTAAATCTTTTTTTTCTCACTATTGAGTTTTTGAGCTTCTTATATATCTTATATATCCTAGAGATCAACCCCCTTTGGATATGTCTATATAGTTTACAAGTATTTTCTCCCATTCCATAGGTTGTATCTTCACCAGCTGATTGCTTTCTTTGCTGTGCAGAAGTTTTTGAATTTGATATAATATCATTTGTCTATTTTTGTTTTTATTGCGTAATAAAAAAAGAAAAAGAAAAAGAAAAAACCTAGGCTGCTGGTTTCACTCTTAAACTGTGAGATTTTGGATTGATCTTTGTATTTCTCTGAGTGTGATTTAGAAATGCTTGCCTTCATTTGGTCACTTTTTTCTCTTTAGCTTAACCAGCTCGAAAAAGCAGTGGAAGCAGCTCACACATTTTTCGTGGCTAACCCTGAGCACATGGAAATGCAGCAGAACATTGAGAATTACAGAGCAATGGCTGGTGTTGAAGCATTGCAATTGGTAGACAGAGAAGCCAAACTACACATGGTAAGCTCTGTGGACCCCTGCCCTCACCACAGGGAGCTAAGTGCTCCTAAGTTACATTTGAGTCAAAGCAAATTTATATGAATGAATATCTCAAATTTTAGTAACATTTTTAGACTTTCCAGGTTCTCAGGATACAATGATCAGGCCTGAAACAACTGAGATTTTTGTCTTAATTTTAATTAAAATTTTAAAAGTTGAAATAAAAAAAACTAAAACATTAAATTTTTTTTCTCTTAAAAATTAAGAGAAAATAAAAATTAACTTAGAAAATTGGTCTAATATGTTAAAAACTAGAACATCATATAATTATCTATAATCCTCTCTGAACCTTTCCAATACTTTTATTTTATACCTAGAGGTGAGGCCAGTGTGAATTGTTCAGGATTACACTATGATTTTCCTGCTCCCAGTCCAGTGGTTTGCCCATTGTACCTATACTTTTCAAACTGGGGTTTTATAAAGTGATGTAATTCTTTGTGTACACTAAACATCACTTGATATCACATGTTGAAAGCGTTTTTCTTTTTTTTTTTTTTAATTTTTGATATCACCATTCTCAACATGTAGGCTCCAAAATTATTGCAGAAAAAAATAAGGGAAGATTTTAGAGACTATTAAAACACACATACACACACACACACACACACACATACACACACACACACGCAACACCTAAAAGTGGATGACACTTCCACCCACATCTGTTTACCTGAACTTATTACATGGTCCTACCTATAGGCAAACAAATTCAAAAATATGGTCTTGCGTGTGCTAAGAAAGAAAATGAAATTGATCCCATAGCAGTCTATTTGCTCAGTAAGATCCCTCTCACTTACAAGTATTTGAAACCAGGAATGTTGTTCTTTATCTCCCAGTGCAACCCTTTGATAAAGATAAACCCTCCACAGCACAAGCATCCAGTACCTCCACCTACCTAAATGATCCTCAGTCAGCCTAAATCCTTGTATTTGAAAGTAAGGGTTTTTTGATCCTCAGTCAGCCTAAATCCTTGTATTTGAAAGTAAGGGGTTTTGTTTTGTTTTGTTTTGTTGTCTATTTCGTTGCAGGAGAGTTACAATGCAGGAGTTAAACATTATGAGGCTGATGACTTTGAGATGGCTATCAAGCACTTTGAACAAGCCTTAAGAGAATATTTCATTGAAGATACAGAATGCCGAATCCTATGTGAGGGGCCTCAGAGATTTGAAGAGTATGAGTATTTAGGGTATAAGTCTGGTCTGTATGAAGCTATTGCAGGTAAAGCTTAGGTTTTCATTTTATTTGTTTCTTGATTATAAAAATACTACTTGCAATTTGTGAACAACTATTCTGGCAATATAGAATATATTGTAAAACATAAAAGACTCTCATGTATCTATCCCATCTTATCTCCTGTAGAGAAATTTATGTAGTTAAAATTTTAGTGACTCTCCTCCTAAACATTTTGAGATGCTTATATATTTATATATTTATTTATAGTTATTATTTCATATTTTATAAAATAGGAAAAGACTATATATATACATATTGCTTTTCAACTTTTGTTTTTATTTTATGCTTAACAATATATTGTGGACTTCTTCTCATGTAAGTATGTAGAGCCACCTTGTTGTATTTAATGGCTGGATAATGCTCTGTTATATAAATATATCATAATTTAATTGACTAGTCCTTTACTGACAAGTATTAAAGAGATCGAAATTTTTCATTATTATAAACAATGTAGCATGAACACTTTTGTATTTGTATTGTCTTCAACTACTTAAAATGTTTTATTATTTAATAAGAATTTAATGTATTACACAGTGGCACTTAAAATAGTAGGTAATACGCATTATAGAATAATTTGGGAGATTGGCTAGTTAACCGCTTATGAGGGGTAAGTGGGTTCTCACCTATATACCTTACACAAAAATGTTTGTAACAACAATATTAGTGTAAAATATAAAACTGTTATAAGAGAGTGAGGGAAAGTATTTCTATAGTATTAGGAGAAGAAAAGCTCTTCTAACCATGACAAAAGACAAGAAAAATAGAGAACAAGGTAAACTTTACCTAAGATTTATAAATATAAATTTGTACAATAAACCAAGCTGATCTACAAATCATACATAGAAAGTATTGCAAAATATTTTATAGGCAAAGTGTTAATATCTTTCATATTTAAAGAGTGAATTCATCAAAATGAATTTTTCAGTTCATAGAAAATTTCAAAGAATTTTAATTCATAATTCAAAAAAGTACATTATTATTGTTCATAGGATTTACTTATTATCAATAGTAATAATAACCAATACATATGCAGCAATTGTAACATACGAAGCACTTAACATATTTTTATCTCTTTTTAATGCTTTAGGCAACTCGTATAGATACTACTGTTACTCTCCTCGCCCTTTTGTAAATGAGAATTTTTTTTTTTTTTTTTAGAGTTTTGCTCTTGTTACCCAGGCGGGAGTGCAATGGCGCGATCTTGGCTCACCGCAACCTCCACCTCCTGGGTTCAGGCAATTCTCCTGCCTCAGCCTCCTGAGTAGCTGGGATTACAGGCACACGCCACCATGCCCAGCTCATGTTTTGTATTTTTAGTAGAGACGGGGTTTCACCACGTTGACCAGGATGGTCTCAATCTCTTGACCTCGTGATCTGCCCGCCTTGGCCTCCCAAAGTGCTGGGATTACAGGCTTGAGCCACCGCGCCCGGCATAAATGAGAAATTTTTATCTGAAAAAGATTAGTGATGTGATTAGAGTGAAGCTGGAACTCATATTTGGACTTTTCTGACTCTAGAATCTATGCTTTTAAAATCTACATAATTGAAAAGTAGGCAAAGGATATTTATTCAATAATAAATTTTTCACAAATATTTTTTGAGGACACATTTCTTTTTTCTGAGTTACCCATATATGAAAAGCAATGATCAACTTCATTCACTTACTAAAATGAGAGTTAATTAAATCAGTTTGCTCTTCCCAACTTCCAATGCTTTTGGTCTTCCGAAAAAGCACTTCTCACCTAATAACTCAAACCAAATTCCAAGAAGTGATCTTTCAATCCAACATCTTCCTTAGTTCCTATTCCCATATCATTCATTGCCAAACGTGGATAGATGCTATCTCCTAATTGCACTTAACACTTCCTAACTCTCTCCAACCCTTTCTAGGACCCTGGCTCAAGGCAACTGTGATTACCTCCTTGCCACTCTTCATGTCCTGTTCTGGTTTTGCTCTGGTTGCAGACCGAGCAGTCTCTAAAAAACATAATTCTGCTCACAGACCTGGTTTAAACACCCCAATGGCTTAATTCCATTTGGAATAAAACCTAATTTTTTTTTTTTTTTTTTTTTTTTTTTTTTTGAGATGGAGTTACACTCTTGTTACCCAGGCTAGAGTGCAATGGCGCGATCTCGGCTCACTGCAACCTCCGCCTCCTGGGTTCAGGCAATTCTCCTGCCTCAGCCTCCTGAGTAGCTGGGATTACAGGCACGCGCCACCATGTCCAGCTAATGTTTTGTATTTTTAGTAGAGATGGGGTTTCACCATGTTGACCAGGATGGTCTCGATCTCTTGACCTCGTGATCTGCCCGCCTTGGCCTCCCAAAGTGCTGGGATTACAGGCTTGAGTCACCGCGCCCGGCAAAACCTAATTCTTTAATAAGAACTTTCATGATTGGGCCCTTGTGTATATTTTCATCCATTTCATTCTCTCCCTGTCACGCTCTCTCTTTTTGATTCCTTAAATATGCCATGCCTATTTCCACTTGCAGATTTTCAAAATGTTGTTTTCTTCTATCTCTTGGCTAAAGCTTTGTCTTGTTTAGTGCTCAATCTTCAGGGCCTAAGAAGAGTGACTGGCAAATAGTAGATACTTAGTAAATACTGGTTAAATGAATGGGTTGATGGATGAATGAATGAATGAGATGACATGTTCATCAATAGCATAGCAGGGATTAAAAGGGTTAGATACTCCATGTTTATGAGAATGAAGGTCATAAATTGTTAAGGTTTCTTCTTTTTTCTTTCTTTCTTTTTTTTTTTTTGAGACGGAGTTTCGCTCTTGTTACCCAGGCTGGAGTGCAATGGCGTGATCTCGGCTCACCACACCCTCCGTCTCCTGGGTTCAGGCAATTCTCCTGCCTCAGCCTCCTGAGTAGCTGGGATTACAGGCACGTGCCGCCATGCCCAGCTAATTTTTTGTATTTTTAGTAGAGACGAGGTTTCACTGTGTTGACCAGGATGGTCTCGATCTCTTGACCTCGTGATCCACCCGCCTTGGCCTCCCAAAGTGCTGGGATTACAGGCTTGAGCCACCACGCCCAGCCCAAGGTTTCTTATAGAGACAATTGGGGTATAGCTATCAAAATTTAGACTAGGAGGTAGACTGAAAATTAGTATGTCAAATGACCGATTTGTGACATACACAGTTACCCGAAATCGACTCAGTTAATCTAAATTCCATACAGCAATCTCAATTATAGAGGATATTTTCTTGAAAGTTTTAGTTTTTTGGATCCCTGCAAGATCCAGTTGCCTAAATTTTTGGAATGTCAGTTTTATGTGTGGTTCACATTTTAATTGCTGTTTCCCTACGCTTGATCTTTTATTTGAGAATGGCAGATTCTTCCTTCATTATAGCTAACTATGTTGTGGTTGTGGGGGACAGGTATGCATCCTGCTTCACCCCCACATTGACCTCTACACCTGCTTTCACTGGTGGCCACTGAACAGTTTTGACCCATGTCCTAGGTCTGGTTTAGGAAAATTGACTGATGATTTCCCACAGATGGGCATTTAGTGATTTGCTGAAGGTCACCACAGCATGTTGGATGCTGGAAAAGAGTAGAGATCTCATAATCCAGGTTCTTTCATTTTTAAGACTCAAACTTATTAAAAACATATTAATTGCACAATGTCCTTTAAAATAGAAAGGAGGCAAGGGAGGCACCTAATAAAGGTAATATGACAGCTCTCACTATGTAAATTGTTGTCCGGTTCAAAATTTTCCTAAATTAGGAATAACATTGGCTTTTTAAATAGCAAATGTATTAGAATGTCAGAATATTTGAATTTTAGAGTTAGACATTAACAGTTGGGGAAAAATACAAATGGCTTCTGAATGCAGTTTTTTATTACTAGCCCTGCTATGAAACCTAAAGGCTATCTTTCTGTCTCTCCTATTTTGCTGCTATTTATATTCACTTTGAAAAATATTTCTATTCAGATTTTGAGTTCTCTATGGGTGTCTTTTGCCTTTACCTTTTGCTTGTCACTTGGGATTAAATGGAGTGTGTATTAGAAGGTAAATAGAAATGCAAATGGTAAGTTGAGTAGCAGAAAACTGTTGAAGGTTGTTTTTGTTTCCTTAAGAAATAAAACAGCTGCTTATTTATTTCTAACATGCTAATCAAATAAATAGAACTCATTCTTCCTTCACATCCCTTGACTGGGGTTAATAACCAATGGGCTTTAGGGATTCTGTTAACTGTGCTGTAAATGATTCAGTTAGCCAAGTTATGCAAAACTGGCACATTTTTCCCCACTCCAGAAAATGCACATTTCCTTCCTGTTGTGTTTTGGGGTCCCTCTGCAAAATCATCAAGATCCAAGTCAAACTCAGACTAAATAGAGAACCTTAAAAAAAAAAAAAGGCAGTTGAGATAAATTAGATTGTGCAGCTATGAGATCAAATGATATTATCATCCTCAAAAGAACCCACTCAGCACAGCATGAATGAACCATTCTTCCTGGAAAAGTACATCATCTTCTTTTTAAAAATCAGTCGAGGTAAAATGTAGGAGGCGTTTTCTTCTTGGGGACATTCACCATTTGTGTTTCCTCATCTCAGGTTTTGGTAAGGCAGAGTCCAGAGCCAAAGGGGGCATGCAAACCCCAACACTTCAGGACTCTCAAGCAAGAAGAACAGGAACAATAGAAAGGAGACAGAAGAGAAAGAGGAAATAAAATGCTCCTTTAAATTTCTTTAGTTTTCACCCTTCTTCCTGTTTTACCAGTCTCTGATAAAGAATATACAATGTTCCTAGTATTAGAATATACAATGTCTAGGCAATAGACTAATTTATAACCGGGCAGAATAGGTTCCTGACCAATACGTGTAAAAAAAGAATTTTAATTTGTCCTTTAGGACAATTTGGCTTGAAAATGTTAACAAAGAAAAAGAGCATTTTTGCTTCACTTTTCAGTCTGAATTTTTCAGGTCCATTGTGGTTTCTTTTTCTGAATTGTTCCTTAACATTTACTAACATCTGAACTTCCATTCGTGATTCCAGGGCACTTCAAGCCATCTAAGCTATCCAAGGAGAGGCCTCAAAGATGTTAAATGTGAAACTGACATTCAGCTGGGTGTAGGTGGGGTCAAGTGGACTGTGGGGTATTAAAAGTGTATATGGGAAGGGAAGAGTAAGGCGTAGAGAACCGATTGTGAGCTATTTAGAGGATTTGTAATCTCCTGTCATTCTAGTGATCGCTGACCAGGAGACCTTGGCAATCACCTACATTCTTCGTAAAAGGGTTCTACAGTTAGGAAGTGAGGATTAGAATGATTTTGTTCTCAGAGTGTGGTGAGGTGAGGAATGCCCTGTGTCACTGTGGCTGTGACGTTGACGTTTGGGCACTCAGTAGCCTGGAGGAACAAATGTATTGGTTCTTGTCTTCCAGATCACTACATGCAGGTGCTTGTCTGTCAGCATGAATGTGTGAGGGAGCTTGCCACCCGCCCTGGCCGCCTCTCACCCATCGAGAACTTTCTTCCTCTGCACTATGATTACCTACAGTTTGCCTACTATCGAGGTAAAGCGTGGATCATCCATGAATACTTCTTGGGGGGTTGTGGTTCGTCATTACAGTCATCATATTTTTGTAATTTAGTGCTCTGCCTTCTTCAGTTTATTATCAAAGCAATGGGAATTTATGCATTTCTTCTCTCCTGAGCTGCAGAACCAGAAGAGCAGAAGGGGAAATCACCAAAGGGCAAAGTACAAAGTTTAATGTGATAATTTACTGAAAATTATACTAGATTGACATCTTGTATTATTTTTTAGACTTGATTTTTAAACTCAGTTTAAAAGGTACTTTACAAAATCTTGTTCCCCAAAACAAAACATTATTTATTAACCTGGTGTTGATGGCACAGAATGAATCACATGCTCAAGTCATAAACAGTGAATCAAAGGAGATGAGAGAGTTGCTTAATTTTTATCATTCTTTTCAAAAATCAGAGTCATCTCAGAATATATATAATATATGTGTATATGTATTTGTACATACATACATACACCCACACATATATATATATATACATACACATATACATGTACTGTAAATCTCCATTAGAAGTCCAATGTTGTGACTTATTTGAAAACAAAGCATACAGACTTTTAAAATTTGTCTTGTAATAACTAAATATTTCTATAATAAAAAGTTTATATTGGAAACATCCTTGTTAGTTCCTTTTAGTAGTTTGCTACTGTTGGATTTACCATAATTGCATAGTGAGGGATTTGAGGGGCTTCTTTCAGAGCATCTGGGACTTTATGAAGAATTTTGCATTAAACTACCGGTTCACCACAAACTGCAGCAATGAAAAATAACATTTTGAAAGCACTTATATTACTCATACATTATGTACAAAATGGTACATTATTGTTGCAAAGGTCATCTTCAGGATGTTTACTTAACCCAAACTCAGTACAAAAATCAGAATTAACTTATACAATTCTGCTGTTTGTCTGTGTTGAATAATAAAAGTTGTCAACATCTTGAGGTAGAATTTTGATAATTTGCACAAAACAACTAGCACCAAGGCAGAGCAAATGTAGTAACTTTTGAATACCTGAAACTTTTGAATACCTTTTATCTGTGACTGCTTCTGCTTTCTCTGCGCAGCCTCAATTTATCTTCCCTCTTATTAATGTTTAATGCTGACCTCTATAGACACGTTGATGATCTCCCTTTAAAATTCTTTGGACAGACCTAGGCTGACGCTAATGCTGCAGCTCCTTTGTTTTTCAGTTGGTGAATATGTGAAAGCCCTGGAGTGTGCCAAAGCCTATCTTCTGTGCCACCCAGATGATGAGGATGTCCTAGACAATGTGGACTACTATGAGAGTCTGTTGGATGATAGCATTGACCCCACATCCATTGAGGCCAGGGAGGTGAGACCAAGGTTTTGAGAAGAAACTCTCGATTCTGCACGTGTTCTGAGGGGAGGTGATAAAAATATAACACTGGTCTTAAAGATATCTAACAATTTAGCAAAGATTTGAGAACTCAGTTCTTTCAAGCTTATGCCAGAAGCACATTTTTTCTCATGCATGCTAGCGTGTGAAAGCATGTTGAGATGGGGACATGTTTTGCAGCTCTGAATATTTCTGTCAGCTCATTTGTAACTGTCTAATGAAAATATGTCCATCTGAACATTTATCATATCTCTTATCTGTTATTTAAATAAAAAATGTCTTTCTTTACTTCTTTTTCTCTAGGATTTAACAATGTTTGTGAAACGTCATAAGCTGGAATCTGAGCTGATAAAATCAGCTGCAGAAGGTCTGGGATTTTCATACACTGAACCGGTAAGAGGAAAGAGGAAATGTTTATTAAAATAATGATTCCTTGGAATTCGTTTAATGTTTTGATTACCCACCTCCATGTGTGCCATTTATCTCAAAAAGCTAAGATTCTAATGCCTTCCTTGAGGTAAAAATTGGAGATGGGGGATGTTTACTCAATATACGCGATGAACTTTAAAAGACTAGTAGATTTCCACATCAGTCATTCCACATTAATGAGGTCCAAAGTTGAAAGCAAATCTATTGGGTAGAAGCATTTTGTATATGACTCATTTTCCCCTGGGAGTGTTTTATTTTCCTAAATTGTGGATGTGGTATTTTTAATTTTTCTTTTAATGCCTGTATATTACCTAAACATTAAAGAGACTTCACAAAGAACATCATCAGTCACAGTCCTACCATCCATCATACTGACTGCACGCCACTTTTCCGTGTTGTCTTCTAATCATTGTTTAAATGAACACATATCTTTTGCAGAAACATATACTATGGTATAAAGAGATTTGTATTTAAGAAGATGTCGGCCGGGCGCGGTGGCTCAAGCCTGTAATCCCAGCACTTTGGGAGGCCGAGGCGGGTGGATCACGAGGTCAAGAGATCGAGACCATCCTGGTCAACATGGTGAAACCCCGTCTCTACTAAAAATACAAAAAATTAGCTGGGCATGGTGGCACGTGCCTTTAATCCCAGCTACTCAGGAGGCTGAGGCAGGAGAATTGCCTGAACCCAGGAGGCAGAGGTTGTGGTGAGCCGAGATTGTGCCATTGCACTCCAGCCTGAGTAACAAGAGTGAAACTCTGTCTCAAAAAAAAAAAAAAAAAAGAAAAAAGAAGATATCATAAGAAATTTCTACATTTGTATAGCTTTAAAAAGTATTTTTAGATACATTTTAGTATCTAAAAAGTAGGTAGAATTTAGAATTTTAGATTGATATACAATAAATAAATGAACTCTTCTGCTGAACATTTGAATTATCTCTGATTTTAAAATTATGTGTAATACATTAGCATTTTTTTCTCTATTGAACTATGTCCTTAAATTCCTAAGAGTTGAATTATTCTGCTAATTATTTTAAATTTCTTGAAACTAAATTGCTTTTCTAAGAGAATTATCTTAGAAATCATTTATTTATTATTAATTTTAAGAGAATAAATAATTCTCTTGAAATTATTTATTTGCATACTATTTTAATATTAACAGAATCTCATGTGGGAAAATTTAGCAACTACTCTAAAATCTCATAGCTCATCACAGGTTAAACAGGTATTTGAATCCTAGTAATGCATAAAAGTACCATTTTACTACAAATTTATCAACAATAAGAAATAACATTTTAAAATTACTTTTTTATTCATAATTATATGTAAAATAATACATATTTTTGTTTTAACTTGCAATTCTTTGATGACCAGCAAGAATAAACCTTTCATATATTAACTATTTTTCCTCTTGTTTTAATTACTTGGGCAGGGGTTTTATTCATTTATCCATTGGTTGCTATGTAAGCTCTTCAAATGATATACAAGTTAATGTGTTTTTAAAATTATTTATAATATATCCAATTTGCAACCTTTTTTCCTTTCTTAATTATGTCACGTTTTTATAGGCACGTTTTAAAAAATGGGTTAATTTCAATGTACTACTTCCAATATAATATCTTTTAATATATTAATATTTATATCTTGTCTTACTTATTCTTTAAAACTTATGGTACCCAAGAGACCTTCGTATATGTTATTTACTAATTTCATGATCCTATACAGGTGATTATTTAAGCTGGATTTTGTTTGTTTGTTTTATTCAGAAAAGTTAAAGAAGTTGAACCGAATGATCTTTCAAATGTTTTTCTGCCACCAAATTTTAAGTCGCTTTCTCGGACAAAAGGATGTATATCCAGGCTAATTCCGTACTGTTTTAAAAATCTATTTGTACTTCATTTTGTCCTTGCCAAATCTCCACTAACTTTAGCCTTCCTTATCATTAATCTTTAAAATAAAAATATATTGTATCTTTACATAATATGAACGTTTCCTAAATTATAGGTCTTTTGAATGTTTCGTACATATTTTATTTACTTTAATTCTGTAAGTAATGTTTTAGTGACAAAATTACTACATTTTTTTTTTTTACTCAATTCCAAACAGAATTATTGGATCAGATATGGAGGACGACAGGATGAGAATCGGTGAGTCCATTCAGAATGCAAACTGGGCTTTATCTGAGGAGAAATACTTAGTGTCATAACCTATCAATCAGAGAGAAATGTAGCTCTCTGAAATAGGCAAAAAGATATAATGAAATAATTCTAAGCTGTGAATTAGGAGCTCTGCACCCAGGTCCCAGCTCTTCTTGACACGTTTGTGTAACCTTAGATAATATATCTTCTGTTTTCTGGGTCTCATGTTTTTTCCCAGAAAAAAGAAAAAAAGAAAAAAGGGCATGATTCCAAATCTGAGAAGCTTGGCTACTTTTGATTTATTAACAGAAATAACTATGTAATTCTTTCGAGGATGAATTTCCTTACCATATTTACTTGAAATGATGAAGTTCAGCATGTTATACTGCAAGCTAAAATATTAAGTGTCACTAACAGAATCAGAAATCATGAAAGCTCATTGTTTAAAACGATGAAAGTCGATTTACATCTTTTAAAGAACTGAAACTCAGAAGGTTCAAAATACCTGCTTGAGATCACATGGTCCAGCTTATTCATTTTCAAATTGGGAAACTAAGGCCCTGACAAGGCAAGCAACTTACTTAGAGTCTCATCACAAAGGAAGGGCAGATCCAGATTTTATTTAGAATCTTGAAATCTTTCACTAGACTTCAAGGACTCAACCCTTGGGTGGCGTAACATTATTGCAAAAGATTCCAGAATGTATATACACATTTGGATTTGTTTGATTTTTTACATTTATAAAGGATGACCTGCTACCATTTGTGTGTTTGGAAATGACAAACCTGTGTCTTCTTTCTCAAAACAGCCATTATTTTGACTACATTTGAACTTCTACATTACGATATAATTCATTTCAATTCAACAATTGTTCAATAATGCACTCCATGCTCCAGGCCCCATTGGACACTCTGAGCATCATAAAGATGCACATGATAATTATTTTCCTACTCTGTTGAGGTTAGAGTCTAATCTGAAGCAGGTTAAGTTATGAATACAATCAATCGTAATAAAGGTTGCTAAGAAGAATTAGAGGCATGAAATAAAGCAAACTCACTGAGGAAATAGAGAACTTCAAAGAGGCAGGGACATTTAATTTGACTTTAAAAGACAGGTGAACTTGTGTACAACAAAATATACAATATAGAATCATAGACTACCTGGGTAAAGTATTCTTTGACTTTGAATGTCTCTATTCAATAATGAATTTCCATTTAAAATTTTTTGATTGGGCAGGGTCCCTTCTGGAGTGAACACAGAGGGAGCAGAAGTTCACGGATTGTCAATGGGAAAAAAGTTATCACCCAAGATAGATCGAGACCTAAGAGAAGGTAAGTAGCCATACAATTTTATTCTATAAAGGAGGGGAAGGGGAATTTGGGGCTTGACCAGTTCTTATCCAGATCAGGGAAGAACCCACTTTCTCTAGAAAACAATGAAAGGACTACGCCATTATACTCCCTAATAGCCTGAAAGCAAGACTTAAATACAAGAATGTGTTAGATTCGTATATTATTACCAAAGGTTTTTTAAAAAAATGCCTCCAAATTCACTTCCTTGTCTGTTTCCCATAGGAATCTTGCATGGTCATCACCATTCTCAGAATACCAGAGGCTCAGCAATTTCTTATGGCTTACTTCTGTTACAGTGTCAGTGAGTGCCAGGTAGTGTGAGTTCAGAGGACTGGGAGAGGAGGCAGGCCCCATGGTATATTAGGTTAGTTAATCTTAGATGCTTAAAGCACATAAATCTGAGCAGGGCCTTTAGAGAAAGCAGAATTTAGTAAGAATGCCTGAATGTAAAGGAAACCATTCTAGTGATTAAAAGAAATGGAGCAAAGGCACAGAGATGAAGCAAGCGAAACATTATATACCTACTTAGGTAAGGTCAAAATTAGGGGAGACATGGGTGGAATGTTGCCAAAAAATAGTTTCTAAGTAGAGCCAAACATTGTTATATTAATAAAATCTATTAGCAATAATAATACTAACAGCAGGAGTAATTCTTAACAATTAGTATCTCTATATGCTTTATGATTTCCCAGCAAATTTGCACACAATTTATTTTTGGCACACTATTTTAATACTAACAGCATCTCATGTGGGAAGATTTAGTGACTTCTTTAAAGTCTCATAGCCCAGAACAGTTTGAACGGGCATTTGAACCCACGCATTTGACCCAAATCCCATTTCTTCACCTGCTGCATGAAACATAGAATAATGTAGATACCAGAAATGTATCACCTATTGATTGAATAATTGCACAATAAGAAGAGGCTTTCAAAATGCTGCATTGGGAAGAAGAAAAAAAAGGTCTCTTTTCCCCAGGAGACCTTGTCAGCACATTTTTCTGATTTGAAAAATTCTGGCTCTCTACAGCTCTCACATTTCCCATCCCTTTCCTTCCTTAGCTTCCAAGTCAGTTTGAAGCAGTAAACAGGATAATATGCTTATCTAATCTGACCTGGACTTCAGTTTGTAGCCACAAAGGCCAAGCTGTTTTACAAATGCCGGAGAGCTTCATGGTCAGCCAGAGTTCATGTTGCTTTTTAAGCTGAGAAATCACCCAGGAAGTTCATGCCAATAAGCCAGCACATTGCTGTAAATGCTTGGGAAACTCCAGGACAGTTGCCAAATTTCAAAGCATTTTTCTTTTCCTGGCTACCAGGGAATCTGGTGTCCAGCAACTGATTAGAAGGTTAATAGAAGAGCAAAACAGAAAACTACATGTGATGGCGAATGATCATGATTGATTGGGCTATCCAAATCGACCATTTCTGCAGAATTGTCTAGGTTGAAGTGGCTAGTGGATTTTAGGATGGAATGTTTTCTGGGAACCTACTGGTCTGAAGGAAATAACAAACATTTTTACATACCGTACTCTCATATTCAATACAGAATACTTATGTGGCCAGATGTGTGTGAGCTTTTTCTTACACACACACCAGTAATTCTCCAGTGGATAGCAACTGAGTGTCAAATAATGCAATTCAGTTCTGACACTGTCTCTCTGGAAATAGTGTCAGATTCCACAGGTTAAGGGCTCAGCCCACAAGACTGCCCCCATTTCAGATGCCAACTGTAAGTATAAGTTGTTACTTTTGGCCAACCCCTCATGGACCACCTACAAACCAGTGTTCCCATGATCCTGACTTTGGGTTAGGTTAACTTGCTAGAGCATCTCACAGAACTCAGGGAAACAGTCGTGTTTACTGGTTTATTATAAAGGATACAGATGAACAGCTAGATGAAGAGGTACATAGGGCAAGGTATGGGGGGATGGGAGGAGGAGCTTCCATAACGTCCATGGGCGAACCGCCCTCCCAACTTCCCAGCATCTCCACGTGCTCAGCCACCTAGAAGCTCATCAAATCTTGTTGTTCAAGAGTTTTTAATAGAGCTTAATCTGCATGCCCCCAACTCCTTTCCCAGAGGTCTTTGGGTGGAGCTAAAAGTTTAATTTCCCTCATCACTTGGTCTTTCTGGTGACCAGCCCCATTCTGAGTCTTTGTAAGGGCCCTACCCTAAGTCACCTCATCGGCATAAACTTAACAGCGATTAAAAGGGTCTCATTATACATAAGAGGATACTCTTATCCCTTGGGAAATTCCAAGGGGTTTAGGAGCTCTATGCCAGAAACAAGGGATAAATACCAATATATTTCTTATTATATAACAACGGAAAAGCCTATTGTCCAGTCATCGTATACCTAATTAGGATATAAATTAAGAGCAGTGGGAGATAGATAAAAAGTTCTCAACCAGAAAACACTTTCCTATCTTAATCTGACTAAAGGGTGATATCAGGGGGCATTTGTTGCAGAGAATAAAGTATACTTCAGCTTTTCTCATCTTCCCCAAAGAGATCGTCATCTACTCTTAATGCCTAACAGTATTTAGTATTTAGTATTATTCCCACTGGACAGCTCCTAAGCATTAAGATGGGGTGACCCAGAGCTACTTACATCTCACAGTGGCTTCAGTCCATGAAGCATGCATAATATGGCAACTTACTTAGAAAACATTTTTGTCACTTGTTCGTTCTCCTTTCACCCACTAGATTTTTTTATTTTTATTTTATTTTATTTTTTTTAAGACGGAATCTTACTCTGTCATGCAGGCTGGAGTGCAATGGCAGGATCTCAGCTCACTGCAACCTCCCCCTCCTGCGTTCAATGACTTTCCTCCCAAGGCTTGGGCTCCCAAAGTGCTGGGATTGCAGGCGTGAGCCACTGTGCCCAGCCAACCAACCAGATTTTTAAACGTGATGCTGGATATGATTCCAGAGTCAGTAAAGGGATAGTAGAAACAATGTTGAGTAAAACTGGAATCAGGAGGCTTAGTTTCTGGCATTCTCTTAATCTGATGTGCTCCAGTGATAAAGATCTAGTGACTCAATTTCCCTGGGCCCTATGTTTTTTATCTGTAAAAGGATAATAACTGTTTTAAGATAGTGAACATGAAAAGCATTTTTTTTTAATAAGAGACAGAGTCTCACTCACTCCGTTACCCAGGCTGGAATGCAGTGGCGCTGTCTCTGCTCACGGCAACCTCTGCCTGCTGGGTTCAAGCAATTCTCCTGCCTCAGCCTCATGAGTAGCTGAGACTACAGGCACACACCACCACACTCGGCCAATTTTTTTGAATTTTAGTAGAGATGGGATTTCACCATGTTGTCCAGGCTGGTCTCGAACTCCTGAGCTCAGGTAATCCGCTCGTCTCAGCCTCCCAAAGTGTTGGGATTACAGGCGTGAGCCAATACACCCGGCCTTTTTTTTCTTTTTTTTTTTTTTAAAGGCTGTACTCATATAAGGGCTTGTTAGGCCGCCCACTCCATCATGTTTTGTATGGCATTATGGGATTTCTGATAAAGTGATTCTCTTACCATGAGTCAGATAGTGTACTTTCTTAGGTGATCCTTTCTTGCTGCAACCAGAGAATCAGAGCCAGACACATACTTTATGAATGAGAGAAGAATTAAGTTGTTTGACTAAATCTTCTTGGGCTGTGGTTAAGAATTGGCTGAAGCCATCAAATCAGGCCCCAGAAACCACAATTTATTGGACTCGATTTTTATTTTAATTTTAATGCTTTCCCATGTCTGGTGTGCTACTAGTCATGTGTATGCTGGTTGACTTGCCTGTTAAATAGTGGAGTTTATTTTATCTGTTTTTTTTTCCCTTTGGTTAGTTGATGGGTAATTGGTTGTTTTTGTTAAATGTATGTGTAGGAAATACCTGTAAAATTTTATACTTAGTAATATTAATAGTTATGTTAGCTACATGAAAGGTCAATTTCTAATGAAGATTCTTCCGGAACCCAAGATTCAGATATTTAGGACTCTGGGCTGGATGCAGTGGCTCATACCTATAATCCCAGTATTTTGGGAGACCAAGGTGGGCAGACCATGAGGTCAGGAGATCGAGACCATTCTGGCCAACATGGTGAAACCCCATCTCTACTAAAATATAAAAAATTAGCCAGGCATGGTGGCACGCACCTGTAATCCCAGCTACTCGGGAGGCTGACACAGGGAAATCACTTGAACCAGGAGGCAGAGATCACAGTGAGCCAAGATTGCACCACTGAACTCCAGGCTGGGCAACAGAGCGAGATTCTGTCTCAAAAAAAAAAAAAAAAAAAAAAAAAAAAGCAAAGCAAATAAACACACACAAAAAAAGACTCCACGTCTCACATGCCCTTCACTTGATCTTTGCATGTTACTTGTGAAATGCTAGGAGAATTGTCAATATCCCAGTAGCCTTCTCTTAATGCTATATGTTTATTAAGTTGTCTTAGTCAGAACTTAACACAGTACTCCAGATGTAGCTTATTAATTCAATAATAATGATAGTAATAATACATACATACTTATAACAGAGCTTAAGGATGGTAGGCACTTTTCTAAATATTTTAGTTTCACTAACTTTCAAAATCATATTTTGAAAATAAGCTAATTATGTTTAAAATAATACACCCTCAATATAGAAAAAGAGAAAAACTTGGCAAAGTATAAACCAACTTAATTCACTAAATCCCTCATCCATCTTTTATTTCTGCTTGAGTTTTATATTAGCAAATGCTTTTTAGTGAATCTACAAGTATCTTATCTTTCTTGTTGAAGGAACATTTCTTTTTATACTTCTAAATTGAAATGGAATATGCAGTTTACTTTTTCAAATATTTGAGGGAAGGCCTGTCTCAATTTGACTATGAATCGTAATCAGCTACACAGATTAGAGCAGCCTTTTCCAAATTGTGTTCTATGCTAAGATTTGGCAGGGGAGGGGGGGATTTTAAAAGACTGCTTGGCTCGGTATGGGGGCTCATGCCTCTAATCCCAGCACTTTGGGAGGCTAAGGAGGGAGGATGTCTTGAGCCCAGTAGTTGGAGACCAGTCTGGGTAACATAACAAGACCCTGAAAAAAAAAAAAAAGAAAGAAATCTAAGCATGGTGGCACATGCCTGTAGTCCCAGCTACTTGGGAGGCTGAGATGGGAGGACTGCCTGAGTACAGGAGGTCAAGGCTTCAGTGAGCCATGATGATGGCGCCATTGCACTTCAGCCTGAGTGACAGTGAGACCTTGTCAAATAAATTCTTTAAAGGCTTTTTTATTGCTGCAAAAACCAAAAAAAATAGTAGCTTGTGAAAATATCCATTTATTATCTCATGGTTTCTATGGGGAAAGAGTCTGGCGAGAAAGTAACTGTGTCCTTGGCTCCAGGATCTCTCACAGGTTTCAGTCAAGTTGTTGACCAGGGCTGAGGTCTCTTCTATGGCTTGACTGGGAAGGATCTACCTCCAAGTTAGAGAGCAGAATTCAGTTCCTAAAAAGTTGTTGGAATATGGTCTTTCAGTTCCTAGTTCATTGTTGGCTGGAGGACGCCCTCAGTTCTTTGCCATGTGATCCTCTTCAGTATAGCCACTTGCATCATTCAGTATTGCCAGCAGAGAATACAATAGACTGAGTCTATTAGTGAGACAGAAGTTGCAATTTTATGTAACATAGTCACAGAAATGCCATCTTATCACAATATTCTACTGCTTAGAAGTAAGTTCCAGATTCCACTCACACTTGTGGGAAGCAGATTACACAGGGGTATGAATGTCGTGAGGCAGTGATCATTGCAGCCCTTCGTAAAGTCTCTGTGCAGAAGGAAGTTGGGGAGTGGGATGGGGAGGGAGAGAATTGTATTCAGTTAAGGCTAAAAACTGCTGCATATTATATTACTACTTAGGACATTAATAAGGCCTGTTTATACATTAAAAGTTATGAGAGGTCCTCTTATATTTTATGTAACCCAGTACTTCCCCAGAACTTTCAATGCAACAAAATTTGAGAAATAGTAAATTGTAGAAAAACGTATTTCTCTAATCAACTAAAAGATGTGATACCAAAACAGGGAGATTATGGATATATTCTTGGGATCCAAAAATTCCATATTTATGAATTTTGATCACAATTTTTAAAAGTTAAGAGAAGCAATTAGGGGTTATCTAAGGGACCAACTTCTAGCCAAGTGCTGTCATGGGATTCCATGGTTCAATGGACACAGTTATGGTCATATTGACACCAATTCATAATACTTCAATGGTTAGAGACTAGAAATAAATGAAATACAATGAACTTATAAATAATGTATTAGGACCAGATGAAAGCTAATGTGGTTTGGCTGTGTCCACCCAAATCTCACCTTGAACTGTAATAGTCCCATGTGTCAAGGGCAGAGCCAGGTGGAGATAATTAAATTATAGGGGCGGTTTGTTCTCCTGGTAGTATATAAGTCTCACAAGATCTGACGGTTTTATAAATGGGAGTTCCCCTGCACAACTCTCTTGACTGCCACCATGTAAGACATGCCTTTCTCCTTCTTTGCCTTCTGCCATGATTGTGAGGCCTCCCCAGATGTGGAACTGGGAGTCCATTAAAACTCTTTTTCTTTATAATTACCCGGTGTTGGGTATGTCTTTATTAGAAACATGAAAATGGACTGATGCAAAGCCCAAAATTAATCATGGTACACTAAGATTGTGTAGCAGTTTAAATAGAGAAAAGTTGTGGTAGAATACTAATTACACACCAACAGTACTATAAGGAACCCTGACTCAAAAGAAAGCAGACTAGATCAGTGAGTAGAATATTCATATGGAAAGTAGCTTTTTATTTTCAGAAAAATAACATTAACCATTTTATTTGTTAATTGGAATTTAGTTTGTTTTATGCTTTTATTTAGTCTTATAAATTAGTTTTGGTACTATATGAAACTATTAAATAATGGATAGATAGTTTTATGATTGCATATACAGAAGTAAAATTAGAGTAAAGATAATTTTCCAGCACTGAAGCTCCTTAGGAAACTTCTGCTTTAACAGATAACCGAACATTACTCTAGATTGAGAAACGCTGCCACATTCTTTTAATATTCCATTAATCATGAGCTGTGGTGAGTCTTTTATCCTAGCTAGACTAATAAACATTTAGAGAGTGTTCGTCCCTAGCTGACTAATCTGTTTGATAGAGAGAAAGTAGACATCAATTGCAATTGTCTCTTCTTTCTTCAACAGGGGTGTTTTAGGCCAATGTGTTGGTGACTTTTGCTAGTCCTAGGGTGGCAGGGGGTTGTGTCTTCCCCGCCCCTGCTGTTCTTACCTTGAGCTGTTGCTATGGACAAGCACACATCAGGCCCCTTAGGAGTATTATAAAGGGTAGGAAGCAGTGTTTTCTTTTCTGTTCGATTTTCTGGTTCGGATGTTTGCACTATGCTACATCAGAAGATTTCTTCTCTGTCAGAGGCTTTGTCCTTCAATCCTACTCTTCTGAGAAAAGGATTCTGTCAGGTCTTGATTTTGTAATTTCACAACCTAAAATGTGTCCCAAAAGTGTCACCCTCTGAAGTGCCTATATGGGGTGAATTTTATAAAGTTGTGGTCTCTCTTTGTGAAGAGAGTAAGTGCCTGAAAGAAGCCATCCTACATGGAAATAGAAATGTGAAGATTTTGCCTGTAGAGAACAGAGAAAAATACTCCAAAAGCAAGACATCCTAGGGTCAGTTACATGGTGGGAAGAAGACTGAGGAGGAGTCAAGTGACTTGGGTGTGACTACCTGAATTACCTGGTGAAGGTATTTCTCTAGACACCAGTGAAACTGAGGTGTGCATGTCATGTCTGGGGGCCCAAACATGCAATCTGTGGTGTTGTGACAGAGGTATGAATGAACGGCTATGAAGAAGGGTGGGTTTTCTCAGAAGAGAGTCCTATGAGATGCCCAGTCAACTTTTCAGGATCAGCATTAGAAACAAATGCAAAAATAGTTCTGTCTCTCCCAAAATAATGTACAAATGTCATATTATTATGATATTATGAGGAAACCTGATAGTCAGACATCTCTCTTTCTTCTGAATCTATACTGTGTTTATCAAGCTTTCTAATTTGGAAAGTGTCTTTGCATTTCTAAATATCCATGAAGAAACTGACTCACTCGAACTGCATACTGAAAGCTGTTTTGTGTTCTGTGCTTCCTTTTTGGGGACAGAGGTAACAGGGAAGACACTGTGTTCTATCCTTTCAGGTGGTCCTCTGCTGTATGAGAACATCACATTCGTCTACAACTCGGAGCAGCTGAATGGGACTCAGCGGGTTCTCCTGGATAACGTCCTGTCGGAAGAACAGTGCCGGGAGCTCTACAGCGTGGCCACTGTGAGGACAGGGAACAGGAGGGGAGCTAACTGCACGGGCCTACCAAGAAGCTGGAACTGCTTTAGTGCTGGTCTCATCTGGAGCCAGGAAACAAGACCTGAGATAGTGCTTTCTTTAGGAGAAAGACATAAATTATTTCTGAGGAACTTTCACAACCTTTGGGTTGGGGTTATTTTAGTTTTCCCAGGTACTGGCATATTTCCTAGACCAACAGCTATCTAGCAAGGTCCCTGCCTATCATATAAAGTTGCTGGAGAAGTCCTTTTATTTTAATTAATAATTAACCAATATATCAATAATTTACATTCTTTTCATTTCCATAAAAAGTGATAGTATTTGATAGTAAAAATATAGAATGAAGATTAAATAAAGATATCTCTTTTAATTAAAAGAAATAATATACCAGCATCCTGGAATAAAATGGGAATGATTCTTAATGTTGACTACAGTTCTCAGCATTCTGGCAGCCAAAGCAGAAAAAGAGACCCAATGAAATCAGCTCAACTCGTATTTTTCCTATACACACATGGTTATCATTGATGAAGTATCTTCTTATATTTGCTTCCAGGGAATCATGATTGTTGGTGATGGATACAGAGGAAAAACTTCACCCCACACGCCCAATGAAAAGTTTGAAGGTGCAACTGTCCTGAAGGCACTCAAAGTAAAGTCTTAACTTCTTTTGAGTTCCTTAGTGCCAGCCTAAGACTTTCGTAAGTGGCAGGTATAGGAAAGAAAAATGTTTAGAATATGTACCCAGGAGGACAGTTAAAGGAAGCAAATGTGAAATGGAAACGTCCTTGTATTTATTTCGTCATTCCTCCATTCAGCCATCAACTTACCAAACTTTACATATCCTGACTAAAAAGATACATTCCCTCTTTTTACAGAGATCATGATCTAACAGTGAAAACATATTCAAACAAGTAATTATTCTCTACCGCGGAAAGGATTGTCAGAGAGGATGGTAGAACATATTATGATAGAAGCAAGAGGAACCAAAGCTTTTAGCTTTCCATCTGTTACTGGGAAGAGTTTACTCCAGTGGCACAATGTCCTAAATGAAATCCACATACATGTAGCAGCCTTCCCACTAGTCAAGACAGACATGATAATCCCGTATTAGCTCAATGCGATCTAGTGCCTGTTTTTCTTACATCCTCCAATGAAGCCATTTGTTTCTAATGTGCTTTTTTTTTCAGTCTGGTTATGAAGGTCGAGTCCCACTGAAGAGTGCCCGTCTGTTTTATGACATCAGTGAAAAGGCTCGAAAGATTGTAGAATCTTATTTTATGCTGAACTCAACTCTGTATTTTTCCTATACACACATGGTCTGCCGAACAGCCCTGTCTGGTGAGATTCCAATCTGAAATGGTTCCCTTTTACCAGCAATGCAATGGGAAATAAAACAATGCAAAACAAAACTCTGTAGCATGATAGTTCATATTTTAGATGAACTCTAGATTTCTAAAACAAAAGGCGCTTAGGAACTCCTATTCTGTTTCTCTCTTTTTCTTCATTTTGGTTTTATTAAGACCCAGACCTCATTCTGAACATTTTCCCTTCTAAATCAATTTTCCCTAATTGCTGAAGCCTCACAAAAAAACAAACAAAACAAAACAAACAAACAAACAAAACGCTTTTCTGCTGTAGGTTTTCCATTTTGAGAAATCAGGAACATGGAAATTATAGTCACCATGATGACTATCAGCATTAAGTGGAAGCATAGAAGATGAAGAGATGATTGAAATAAATGCTCTCAGAAAGACAGAGACCACCTCAGTCCCTGCTCATCCTGATTTCTTCTCTATGTCTTCTGTTTTGCCCCCTGAATAGGGGAGGGCACAGAATAGAATGATGAATAGAATGATGTCACAGGAGTAGACTTTTACACTTGGGAAGTTTTAGCTGAATTAAATCTTTTTTTTTTTTTTAATATTTTCATTTCACCCTCATTGTTTTGCTGCCCTGTGTGAAGTACAACCCATGAAATACATGGACTGTTTTCACATATGTTTATATCAGAAAGAACTTTTACAGCTGAAGAGATGGGTGTGACATGCTTAAGATTTCACATCCAGTTCATGCCAAAACCAGACCAGATACTCAACTGCTTGTCCACTGTTCTTTCATCTGTTCTTTCCCATTGTTCACCTCCCTGCATTTGCAAAGAACACCAGGAATGGGAGAAGACACTCAGATTGTCAGTCACTTTGATGGAAGGTGCCGCACGTCATTCCTCCTTCTTCCCTATTCCCTTTTCTGGCAGGTCAGCAGGATAGAAGAAATGACCTCAGTCATCCCATCCATGCTGACAACTGTCTGTTGGATCCAGAGGCCAATGAATGCTGGAAGGAGCCTCCTGCTTACACATTTAGAGACTACAGGTAAAGCTAGAACCCACTTCAAAACAAAGCTTTTACCTAACAGTTTTCAAAGAATGAAAGCTGGAAAGGTGCTCTGTTTTGCTTGATAACATTTTCGTCTCTCTGAGGCAGAAATTCTCAAGTAATCTTCTGATGCAGCTGTCGTCACCAAAGAAGTGACATTATCATCTCACTTTTATCTTAAAGATTATGCACATTTTGCATCCCATTCAACAAAATGTCCATTTTGTTTTAATATAAAAAGTAAATTTTATGTTTAAAAAAAAAAAAAATCCTGTTTCCCCTGGAACATTTTCCTTGTGATATGTGTATTTCAGTCAGAATACAAGGGCATGGAGTCTTGGCACCCATAAGGACTTTATCATGTCACTTATCTGTTATTCACACCCATGGAGAATGATGTCTGCATTTTATAAATAAGACACTCAAAACTCAGGAGAAAAGAATGTCCTAACCTATTGAAAGATATTTCAGTGTGTAAAGAATCAGGAATTACAGTCAGCATGTGTTCATTGTTACTACGCTGTGATCATGATTCCAAGACATTGATTAAGCACCCTCTATCTGAAAAGCATGACTAGGCCACAAGGAACTCTCCAGGCAGTTAAGGAGGAAAAAACAAACAAACAAACAAACAAACATCCTTTAGAGTTACTGTTATATAAGGGAAGAAGAGAGTTGTAAATAAGGTGGACAGGTTCAGAGGGTTAGACTAAATTAAAACTAGTTAGGTTTTCTGGGGAGGAAGTGAAATGTGACACAAGCTTTGAAATATGATAACAATTTTAATGAAGGTGGAATAAGTAAACTTTTCAGAGGCATAAACCAAACTCTATATGATCTTCTGTTTCAACATTTGGAGGGCCAATTATTTCAATGACTAGTTCAAAGGAAATTTATGAACGGAGGCTGGACAGTATATCACCAGTCTTCAGTATTCTATGACCATGCTATTGTAAGCATATAATAGTACAGATAGTTTTTTCTTCCTTCTTATAGTGCTCTTCTGTATATGAATGATGACTTTGAAGGAGGAGAATTCATATTCACTGAGATGGATGCTAAGACTGTGACTGTAAGTAAATCTATTCTTACATTCTTATTTAGTATTTTTTTAGCTCAGTATTGCCGTTTTTCTACGTGGACTTCAAGACTGTTGGATTTCAAATACTTCTGAGCTGAAGATTCAGGAGGTTAAGAGAGTCCCAGTAAATATATAGATCATAAACTGTTAGAAGCATCCATAAAAATCTTCTAGTATGTTGTAGAGATGGATAAATTCAAGAACTTTGGGATTAAGCATTTATCATGATCATTTAGCTAGTTAGTGTTAGACTTGGAGCCAAAACCTAGGTCTTCTAATTCTTTGTCAAGTCATCTGATGGAAACGTAAGAACATTAGTTAAGAATCACGCAAGTCTCTATAGAATAAGTCAAATGATTCTACAAGGTGTCTTTCAAGTAACCTGGTTGAAAGTGTTCTACACACTTGGACTGAATATTGGCCTTCAAATATCTAGTTTCCAAAATTATCATATATGTGTGTGTGTATGTACACGTGTGTGTATATACCTATAGGTATACACATATATGTGTGCATAGAAATACATATGATCATGATTGTATGTAATAAACCTATACCTAAACATTGATACACACACACACACACACACACACACATATAAATATATGTAAATAAAGAGTAAATCAAAAGTTCAGTTCAACCATCATCTTCCTAAGCAAACCTGTGCCTTTGGAAAACAAGCCTACTTAGTACTTAAAGACTATGTATTTAGCATCCTTTGGTCTTTAAGCCAAAGAACATACACAATATTTTACAATTGGGAAAGTAATTAGATTATACTTTATTAGGTATCTCTTTCCACCATACAAAATGTAAATAGTTGGGATGTGTATGTGGTAGACTTCAAAGTTTTGATATCATAGAAGCTATCTCTAAAACTTTTCTTGAATTGTATGCTTTTCCCCTCATAGCTTACATGCTTTTCTTATTAGTGAAACATATATATCATTCATGGCACACATATGTCATTCATGACATAGTACTGTGGTATAAGCAGATAACGTCAAAAAGTATATATCACTGGGTTTAAAGGTGATTCCAATGAGGATTCTGGTTAAAATTATCTAGAAATTTTTTTAATAAAAAAATTTATAACTTTTATAAATAAAATTTAGTTATAACTAAAAAAATTTCATGCAACTTTATGCAATAATGTATGTTAAAAAGGTCATGATGCCTCACTTTTTTGTAAAAAGCTTAAATACTAATATGGGAGTACTTTAATGCTTCATAATCTGATATATTAAGTCAAGACTAACAATCTGGAATTTATAATCCAGAAGTGTTTTTTGTTTTGTTTTTTTTTTTTCCCCCTCTTCTGGGGAAGCTTGTGTGTTGGAAGCATTTGATTTCTGATCTCTGCTAATTCTGAAACAGGTACAAAAATACTGGCACATTGCAGTTTGAGTCAGGTGGTTGAAAAGATTTCTTTGCTTCTCCTCCATCTAGTGGCCATATTTGGAAATGCTCGATGCTTTGCCTATTTCATTAACTGTTGACTGTCGAGTTAACTGGAATTCTGCTTTTTAAAGACGTGAAAGCAGATAATATTCTCCTTTGAGAGTGCCACAATTTTAATTAAAATCTGTAACTATTTTTAAAAACACTGAATCTAACCTCCCCTGAAAAAAGTAAAACCAATTTAAACAATTGTTTTTATGTTATATTATTATACCTTAAGTTCTGGGGTACATGTGCAGATAGTGCAGGTTTGTTACATAGGTATACATGTGCCATGGTGGTGGTTTGCTGCATCCATCACTCCGTCGTCTACATGGTATTTCTCCTAATGCTATCCCTCCCCAATCCCCCCACCTCCGGCTCTTCCTCCCCTAGCCCCCAAACCCCCAGGCCCCAGTGTGTGATGTTCCCTTCCCTGTGTCTGTGTGTTCTCATTGTTCAACATCCGCTTATGAGTGATAAGCAATTTGTTAATTTAAAAGCTCCTATTTGAGAACATTTATTTTTCTCAAATTACTTACACTTCATATTAATGCATACAATGACATTTTAGGGAATAATGTAGATAACTAAAGTTTTAGATAAACCAGCTTTTATCCCTTTCCCACAGGAGGTTTATTCTAGTACCAGCAACAACAACCAAAAAAATTGGTATACTTTTGTTGAGGTTTCCCTTTGACTGTGGAGGAACAAATAGAGCAGAGAGATGACATAGCTCGAGGCCACACAGGAAGTAAAGTCTTCTGAGTCCTTTACTTTGGAAAAATAGGGAAGTCGGGTAATTATTTGAAAGGTGGCTGAAATTTTACTTTTATTAAAGACAATCACAGCACAAATGCTTTTCTAACTTGATCATCAGGTAGACAGAAAGCAAAAGGAATATTTTAAATTATGCTTAGTATGCTTGGAAGATATATGGGTTCTTTTCAATAGAGCATTTATTTGTGAGACTTGGGAATTCAGGGATGTTGGTTTCTTTGTGCAAGTCCAAAAAAGATAAAATTTAATGAGTTCCATTTGTTTCACGAAAAAGTAAATTCAGTATAAATGGGGCTGTGCTACAAAAGTATGTTTATAATCATTTATCTAAACTTCATAACATATTTTTCCTGTAGAAATAATGTCACACATGGAAACAGGTTCACTAAAGCTTGTTTATTCCTCCAAATACCTGACAAGTATCAGATGATGTACTCTATCTGATGAGATTAGAGACCCTTGTGAACCCACACCTATAATCAATTCCAGCTGCCTCATGCAGTTCACGGCTTCTTTTCCTAAACATTCCCGAAGCTATTCATGTTTAACGGTACTTTCAATTCCACAAGAAAGAAAATACTGAATGGTCACCACACTCTTTTTTTAGTCTTATAAAATGTTATCAAGACCTGGTAATCACGCAGAAGCACTGGTAAACGTGTGTTTGAGTGAGTCCTGACCAGCACCAGGGAAGAGGCAGTCCAGAAAACCTGAAACTCCAATGTCCCAAGGCAGTTTAATCAGAAGACTTCTCTATCCTACTTCATAAGTTTTACACTTCATTTACGTTGCTGTTTCTATGTGTAAATGTACAAATTCCTTCTCCAGGAAAACAGAATCTGATAGACACTGAGGATACCACTGACTAGTGAGCCCTCTAGATTTACATCAGAAAATCTGCCTTGATAAAGTTGTTTAGGAAAAGCAGTTCCAGCAAAGACAAATCACTCTTCAGTTAATGTGAATAGGAGAGTAACGAGAAACTGACTGCTGTTTTCTGCTCTTCTTAACACTTGCACACAAATCACATGTACACACACATGAAGACTCCCATAGACACAAATACACACGCACGCACACATAAACACATATGCACCCACCTGGCTCTCTGGCTGTCTGACTCCTCCACCTACCTCTGACTTTTCATGTGTAGTCACACAGTCCGAGAGTACCGATGTTATGTAGCAGTCAAGGACTTTAGGAAATTTTAAAATATTCTTCCTGTAGCTAGCATTAAAAACCAGCAAGCTCATTTTATGCGGAAGGATACCAACAATTTACGGTCACATGTCAACTCAAGTCAATTCAGGAAATAGCTAGTTAGAACCAGCCCGTGTGCTTATCTAGTACAATGCCTGGTGCCACTTTTTTGGTTCTGCTTTACTTTTCTGAGCTATACTGAGGAATGAATGAAGTTTCTGTATTTCCCAAGGAAGAAAAATGGACTCTCCTCACGTGAGACACTTCTTTAAACACAGAAGCAAAGCCTCTACTACTCAGTGGCTTATGGTCACTCAACTTGAAGAGCCAGCTTGTTTGATCTGCCCTTTTTCTGTCACTGCTCCCTTCTCGCTAAACACTGTGGACAGCTCCACCTGAGCAGTGCACAAGCTCGGAAGGACCGTGTCAATCTTAAAAACATTAAAGGCCGTGGTGAACAGGCCACTCCAGTGGGGGTTGGCTTCTCACCACTAGAGATGTTCAAACAATGCCTACATAACCCCTGGGAAAGAAGAGTGTAAAGGAAATGAAACATCATGCAGAAATATGACTTCAGAGTTTTAAAAATGTTTGTGTTATGAAAAGTACGTACACTATAAATGTACAATTTAAAAATTAGAAGGAACATACACTCACGTAACCACTACCTAGATCAATAACAAAACTTTTCCAGCACTGCAAATGTTCTGTTTTTTTGTTTTTTTTTAATTCCACAAGTATGGAATGGACATCTACCTCGTATCCAGATGCTTTGATAGTGCTAAGGAAATGAATGATGAGAGAAAAACTTTGCCTTCTTTGAATTTGCAGGCTATCGTCATAGCATGTATTGAACGATTGCTATGTATGTGGACTTTACCACCCATTTTACTCGAAAAAACTTTTTTATTTTCTGAGGTATATATTATTTTGACCTTAACTTTGTTTTACAGCTGAAAAAATTGAGACAGTTTACGTCATTTTCAATCCCAGGATTCCTTTCTTCTTCGGTTCATTCCTGAACTGAAATAATCTCATAGGCCAGAGAGACAGGAGTTGTGGAAATGTTTGCGATACAGCAATTGAAAGTCTAATTTTTGCCTTCTTTCTCAGGCCTCTATAAAACCAAAATGTGGGCGCATGATCAGCTTCTCATCTGGAGGAGAGAACCCTCATGGGGTGAAGGCAGTCACGAAGGGCCAGAGGTGTGCAGTGGCTCTGTGGTTCACCCTGGACCCACTTTATAGAGAATTGGTGAGTTTCTCACCCGTCAAGAAAGCCAATTAGGCTTGCTTCATGAACTGCTTTATCTGAGAAGTCCTTTAAACTGCTTCATCTGAGCAAAAGAAGAGGGGCTATAAAGGCAGTTCTTAATCAGATATGTTCTAATAAGTGAAGCTCTTTGTAGAAATAGCTCCGTCAGTGATAACTGATAGTCACTAACATGTCTTGAGCTTATTAACAGGTTGTAAGGCCAGGCACAGTGGCTCCTGCTTGTAATCCCAGAACTTTGGGAGGCCGAAGTGGGTGGATCACTTGAGGTCAGGAGATCAAGACCAGCCTAACTAACATGCTAAAACCCCATCTCTACTAAAAAGACAAAATTAACTGGGTGTGGTGGCATGCACCTGTAATCCCAGTTACTTGGGAAGCTGAGGCAGGACAATCGCTCAAACCTGGGACTTGTAATTTGCAGTGAGCCAAGATTGCACCATAGCACTTCAGCCTGGGCAACAGAGCAAGACTCTTGTCTCAAAAAACAAACAAACAAACAAAACCAGTGGCATCAAGAAGGAATCACTTTTTATTGGTCACCCAGAAGACTGATTTGTTTCCTTAAAATCGTAACAAACAGTTTTGAATCATATGAAACATATTTAGAAGAGGGTAAGGAAATCTAAAAGATTATTACCATTATTACATTAAATATTTAAATATTATTATTATTTGCAAAGTAGCTGAGGACACTTAGCTAGGAGGAGAGCATGATCTCATCGTTTTGGAAGCTCATGAGTAGATGTCATAGTCTCTACTTCTGCAAAGCTGCAGAGACATGAATTACGACCAATGGCTAGAGGCCCTGGAGGGAAAATTTGGGCTCGACACAGGAATAACTTTCAAATAGTCACCAGAATTTGGCCGCATTGTCTGCTTCGGAAGCGCTGATTGGATGGCTCCAGTCAAAGCCCAGGCAACTGCTTGGCATGGAACACTGAAACGGAATCTGAAACATCGTAGCAGAGGCTGAACTGGCTGACTTCCAAGTCTTCTCCCGCCCCAAGTATTGATGAAGCTATGAAATTCTATTCTTACAGACGGCATTCTATCCAGTTTTCTTTCTTAGGTTCCTAAATTGAATGCAATTTCATCAGAAATTATTTAAAAATAATGCCTTTTTCTCATCTACTTTTCACCATCAAACCCAACTCACAAAGTGTTTGCCCACATCCCCTAAGCCATTCTTTCACATACTTTACAAAATACCTATTATGATCTTTTATTGTACAGAAGACCTGTTATTATCTGCCTGAGAAACTCTGCCAGGTAGGCCCTAGGGGTAGAAGGGTAAACGGAGCAAGGTCTCGGACTACAAGGCGCTCAGACAGATCAATTAGTAAATAGGACGTGAGAAAACAGCAGTATACGTTTTGTAGTGGGGAATCAAGGACGACTTCTGTAAGCTCAGACCTGTAAAAGAAGAGGATAACCAGTTATGGAAAGAATGGCCCTGGCTGGGAGAGGTGGCTTCCACCTATAATCACAACAGTTTGGGAGGCCGAGGCGGGTGGATCACCTGAGGTCAGGAGTTTGAGACCAGCCTGGCCAACATGGTGAAACCCCTGTCTCTACTAAAAATACAAAAATTAGCCAGGCGTGGTGGCAGGAGCCTGTAATCCCAGCTACTTGGGGGGCTGAGGCAGGAGAATCACTTGAACCTAGGAGGTGGAGGTTGCAGTGAGCCGAGATCGTGCCGCTGCACTCCAGCCTCGGCAACAAGAGCAACTCTGTCTCAAAAAAAAAAAAGAAAGGAAAGAAGGAAAAGAAAAGAAAGAAAAGAGAGAGAGGAAGGAAGGAAGGAAGGAAGGCAGGCAGGCAGGCAGGCAGGCCGGCCAGCTGGCCCGCCCTGACAGAAGGACCAGAGCACAGAGTCCTGAAAACTTCAGAGGGGAATGAACAATTGCATTCCCGGATCATTATTTTATATCTTTGTATTTTCTGTCTCCAAAATGCCAGCATTCCATCAAAGCACCTTTTTAAACAAACAAACAAACAAACAAACTAAGGAACCTACATAAATGGGTAGACAGTGAAGATAAATTATTGAAAAATTGCATCACTTTTAATACTCAGTTCAGCAGACATTCAATTTATTTCATCATTCACAATCCAAACGTACTCTTCCAAGGTATTGTTCTCTCAAAATAAGCTCACACTAAGTTCTCTTTGCTTTTTTTTTTTTCAGACGGAGTCTCATTCTGTCGCCTAGGCTAGAGTGCAGTGATCTCAGCTCACTGTAACCTCCGCCTCCTGAGTTCAGGAGATTCTCCTGCCTCAGGCTCCCGAGTATCTGGGGTTACAGGCTCTGGATTATACGCTCCCACTACCACATCCGGCTAATTTTAGTATTTTTTTGTAGAGACGGTATTTCACCATCTTGGCTAAGCTGGTCTTGAACTCCTAACCTCTTGATCCACCGTCCTCGGCCTCCCAAAGTGCTGGAATTACAGGCGTGAGCCCCCATGCCCCGCCCTCTTTGCTCGTTTCTGATCAGGAAACGTCAAGGCCAATGTCCGTTCCTCTGACGGCGAAGTACGAGAAACTCTTCAGGCGGTAGCGGCATCTAGTGGCCACAATGGGAAACGACGAGAACCTCTTCCGCAACTCAATTAGCCCAGGCTGTGAGTCACGTTCCTGGCTTCACGTGGAAATCATCTGGAGATCTTTACAAACTACTAATATCTGCGTTTCGGGAGTTTTAAAAGCTCTCCAGGTGATTCTAATGTGCAGCAGCAGAGTTTGGGAGTCCCTGGCTTAGACGTCTTTTCTCAGATGGAATCCCTGAGCAGAAAATGCCTACCTATGAGCAAGTCATTAGAGCTGGCAGATTCTCATGCGTATTATGAATTACTTTAAAGGTTCTCAGTTATCAAGGAATACTTAGCAACATTGTCTTAAGGATGCAAGGATGTTTGAAGCTTCATATATATTGGTTCCAGCTCCTGAATTTCTTTCCCTTTATGAGAGACACGATTACGATAATTTCTTGTGCTCAACAGATGTGAAAGCTTTGTATGTGTCAATTTGTTAAGCATAAAGATTGTTTTCCTCAGCTGGGCCTAGCACTTGGGGATGCTGAGGCTGGCAGATTGCCTGAGGTCAGGGGTTCGAGACCAGCCTGGCCAACGTGGCGAAACCCCTTCTTTACTAAAAACATAAAAATTAGCTGAGCATGGTGGTGCATGCCTGTAATCCCAGCTTCTGGGGAAGCTGAGGCAGGAAAATTGCTTGAACCCAGGAGGCGGAAGTTGCTGTGAGCCGAGATCATACCACTGCACTCCAACCTGGGTGACGGAGTAAGACTGTTTCAAAAAAAAAAAAAAAAAAAAAAGATTGTTTTCTTCATATTTGTAAAGTAGTAATTGGGCTTTTTATTTAGATGTGGCAGCAATTTAGTTTTCTGTTATTTAGTATATTTGGCCTTTTAGTTGCCTTTTTTTTTTAAAAAAAAATGTGGAGTCTCACTCTGTTGCCAGGCTGCAGTGTAGTGGCACAATCTCAGCTCACTGCAACCTCTGCCTCCCAGGTTCAAGCAATTTCCCTGCCTCAGCCTCCCCAGTAGCTGGGACTACAGGTGTGCACCATCATGCCCAGCTAATTTTTGTATTTTTAGTAGAAATGGGGTTTCACCATGTTGGCCAGGATGGTCTCAATCTCCTGACCTCATGATCGGCCTGCCTGGGCCTCCCAAAGTGATGGGATTACAGGCATTAGCCACTGAGGCCAGCCGCGCTGTCTTTTTGTCAACGTTTTTCATTACAAGCTCTTGCATGAAAGGGGCTTTGTTTTCAAGTCATAAAATAATTGTTTATTTAACTTACTGTGCCCAGGCACTGTGTTAAAGACTGCCTACACACTAAGATATGATTCCTATTTTCAAGGAGCTTGAAGTCACATTGGAGAGGTAATACAAGGGCCCAACTAATTAAACCACAAGGCAAATGTGGTTTATTAAGAATCCTTATAAGCAAATGCATGGTTTGAGGGACATAAAAAAGCAATCCTCCAAAAAGCCTTCTTTGAGATGACATTTGAAAAAAGCTTTAAAAGATCAGTAAGATTTCTTTAGGGAGAGGCATTTTAGATGGAGAAAGGCTTTATCCTTTATATATTTACTCATCAAAGAAAATAGAACTCTTACCAAATGTCAGTGGCTTTTCAGAGTACTGAAAATACGGCAGTGATCAAGAAGATAAGATGCCCTGCTCTTCTGGAGCTTACATTCTAATGGAAAGAAACAGCGCCCCCCCCAAAAAAAAAAAAATTGAGAGACTTTCAGATAGTGACCGATGACGTGTGGAAAATGGAACAAGATAACCGATTGCAGAGTGAAGGAGTAGGAGCGGCAAAGTGTGAGCCTTCTGCAAACAAGTGGCATGAAACCTGAAAAATGAGACATCCACCAAGGTAAATGTCTGGAAGAGAGAATTCCAGGCAGAGGACAAGCTGCAAAGGCCCAGAGACAGTAAGATGTTTGGAGTCTTCGCCAAGAAACAGTGAAAGCCGGAGCATCTGGAATATGGCAGACAAGCGTAACAGGAGGACATGGAGGAGGCAGGAGCCAGATTCCGCAGGCCGATTAGGAAATGTGAATTTTTTTTTTCAGACTTGCTCTGTCACCCAGGCTGGAGTGCAGTGGCGTGATCTTGGTTCACTGCAACCTCTGCCTCCCAGGTTCAAGTGATTCTCCTGCCTCAGCCTTCCGAGTAGCTGGGACTACAGGTGTGCACCACCATGCCCAGCTAATTTTTGCATTTTCAGTAGAGAGGGGGTTTCACCATGTTGGCCAGGCTGGTCTCAAACTCCTGACCTTGTGATCCTCCTGTCTCGACCTCCCAAAGTGCTGGGATTACAGGCGTGAGCCACGGTGCCCAGCCTGGAAATGTGAATTTTATTGTAACTGGTAGGAAGTCATTGTAGTCCTCCTACTCCAACACACACACACATCTCCTCCTCCAATCCTGGAGAGTTACAGGATACAGAAGATTAGCTAACATATAGGCTTAGACTGGAGTAGTAACAGAAGGTGAAAAGATGTGGAAGGTTTGAGATAAACAATTTGGAGGAAGACCAGCTGGATCTGCTGATGGATTAATATGAGGAATAAAATAAAATGTACATGCTACTGGGGACATCCAGAGAAACACTTATTTCAGAATCAGATTAGGGAATTCTTTTCAAAGTGTTACATTCAGGGAACTTGAGGTAAGTTAAGAAGTTGGACTATAAGGTGAGGAGAGAAGGCAAAATAAGCCTGAAGAAGAGAGCAAGGTATGAAAAAGAAGAAAAAAAGGTATAAGGCAGCTCCTTGTTAGCATAGCAAGAAAAGCAGACCTGAAACTTCAAGCAGTAGGGACCCATTAAAGCAAGTGTCCCCAAACTTTTTACACAGGGGGCCAGTTCACTGTCCCTCAGACCGTTGGAGGGCTGCCACATACTGTGCTCCTCTCACTGACCACCAATGAAAGAGGTGCCCCTTCCTGAAGTGCGGTGAGGGCTGGATAAATGGCCTCGGGGGGGCCGCAGTTTGGGGACGCCTGCATTAAAGAGTTGTAAGGAGGAAGGAGGTATAGTCAGATTTAAGCCAGTAGGATTCATCAGAAGCATGTGAGGGTGAGTAGTGAGTCCGGGAGAGCAATTCGGAGGCTGCAGCAGTAATTAACAGATGACGAGGGCTTACAACAGTGGCTCTCAAGAGCGAGCAGTTGGTCTGGTGCAGTGGCTCACGCCTGTAATCCCAGCACTTCGGGAGGCCGAGGCGAGTGGATCACTGGAGGTTGGGAGTTCAAGAACAAGTCTGGTTAACATGGTGAAACCTCATCTCTACTAAAAATGCCAAAAAGAAAAATTAGCCGGGTGTGGTGGCAGGTGCTTGGAATCTCAGCTACGCGGGAGGCTGAGGCAGGAGAATCGCCTGAACGTGGGAGGGGAGGGTTGCAGTGAGCTGAGATCGCGCCACTGCATTCCAGCTTGGGCAACAAGAGTGAAACTCCGTCTCAAAAACAAACAAACAAAAAAGGCTGGGCGCAGTGGCTCATGCCTGTAATTCCAGCACTTTGGAAGGCCAAGGCAGGCAGATCACGAGGTCAAGAAATCGAGACCATCCTTGTCAACATGGTGAAACCCCATCTCTACAAAAAGTACAAAAATTAGCTGGATGTGGTGGCACAGGCCTGTAGTCCCAGCTACTCGGGAGGCTGAGGCAGGAGAATTTCTTGAACCCGGGAGGCAGAGACTGCAGTGAGCCAAGATCACACCACTGCATTCCAGCCTGGTGACAGAGTGAGACTCTGTCTCAAAAAAAAAAAAAAAAAAAGGAGCAATTTTGCCAGTTAGTGGACCTTGGCAATATCTGGGACTTGATGGGGGAGGTTACTGTTGCCTCCCTGTAGTAGGTAGAGAGGCCAGAGATGTCACTGAGCATCCAGTAATGCACAGGGCAGCCTCCCCCTCCCACCCTGCCAACAATGAATTATCCAGTCTAAAAATGTCAATCAGGCCAACATTGAGAAATCCTGACCTAAACTACGGCAACAATAGTGCATTGAGGAGAAAGAGCAGAGACAGCAGAGAGAACAGAATAGGTGACTCATCACATGCAAGAAACCACGGTCAGGCTTTTAAGGCAAATAGGTGAGCAGTGTTGGTCTCTACTGAGAGAGAGCCTATGTGAAGAGCAGGGCAGGTTCTTGGGGAGAAAATGGTGAATTCAGCTTGAACACTGAACTGAGTTGGAGTTGTCTGTGGGGCCATGACATAGAAAGGGCAGGAAGCGGGTAATTCTTTGCAGGAGAGAAGTCTTAGAAAGTAATTGCTTCGGACCTAGGAATGTCAGGAGAAGTCATCAGTGTGGGGTTGAAGAGGAAATGTTCAGTGCTTAACTGGATTTAGCATCAACCCATGCACAGATTGATGTTAGGAAGTGTTTGGGAAGCGTCTGCTGATGAGACTGATTATTATGCTTGTAACAGAAATGTGTAAATTGCCTTTTTTGCAGGAGCGAATACAGGCTGATGAAGTGATTGCAATCCTGGATGAAGAACAGCAAGGAAAGCATGAACTGAATATCAACCCTAAAGATGAGCTATAAAAATGAGAAAGAATGTTCTATCAAATATTTATTTAAATTGTTAATCTTATGAGAACCTTTTTATTTTTGTACAGAGCCATGGGATAAATTAACAGGTTAATATGAATCATCAGATCTCCCTTCTGTTCCTAAGGATGCTTGTGTTGCATCACTCAATCTATCGATCTATCTTTCTTGTTTTGGGGTTTCTCTCTCTCTCTCTCTCTCTCTCTCTCTCTCTCTCTCTCTCCTTTGACACATGGTTTTACCATGTTGTCTAGGATGGAGGGCAGTGGCTGTTCACAGGTGTGATCATAGCACACTGCATCCTCAATCAAACTCTTGGGCTCAAGTGATCCTCCAAGCCTCTCAAAGAGCTGGGACCACAGGCACGTGTCATCACGCCCTGCTCTTTTTCGTGTTTTTTTCATCATTTCATCTATCCATCGAAGCCCAGTTCACCTACTCCCCAAACACACACACAATTTGCTGCAAATCCAAAAGGTCAGAGAGAGTAAACTTGTTGGTGAAACTACAGCTGTCATGTGTGCTCCAGTTCTAAAATTAACATGTGCTTAGTCTCTGAAGCCGTTTCTTGCTCTGTGCCTTTCAGCCACATCCTCTTAGAAGCTAATGGCCATGAGCTCTGACTCTCCCAAATGAGCTCCGCTTTGGGTCTGAGGAGCCTGTGACAGAGTCTGCGCTGCCTCAGGTATCTCGGGAGTAATGATCACCTAGGATCCAGGAGATTTCATGGATGATACAGTAATCACTGTATGAGATAGAGGGGCCTCCAGTCTTTCCAGGGCCTTGGTGGAATTTTTGGCTCTGGTGTTTTCACCAGACACTAAACTTACACTGGAAGCTTTGATTGACCCTCCACAGTACTCCACAAAGGACCACCCTCTAAACTGTACATTTTAGAAGGTCATGTAGAGGTTGAAGTAGAATGGCTTTTCACCCCAGTGACTTTGGAAGAAAATCTCAAATACTACCTGGATCCACGCACCATTGCCAGGTTGCCTGGGAGTGGGATCCACTGATGAAAAGAGGTATTTTGTACTTAGTTAAGAAAAATAAACTTCTGTTTGGTTTTCATTGTCATCTGCATATATTTGGGGCCCCCTCCTCATTGCTGCTATCCGGCACACAGACTCATGCCTGTGTCTGATTTGTTTAATAAAGGGAGCCTTATTTTAGTATGTGGCATCTATTTTTCTTCTCCCAAGTTTTTGGTTTATCTTCACAGAATGGTTTTGTGATTAGACAGGGACTTTTGGGACCACCTAGGGGCAACACTGGGACATGACTAACGTGGCTGGCGCAGTGGCCTCAGGAATGGCAGGGGCATCGCTCTTGAAGAACAGAGATGGTGACAAAACAGGGCATTGATCCAGAGAATGCTTGTTCTGGGTCCCAGTTCTCAAGAAGACACTACAACGACATAGCTCATGGGGCTGAGGTTCTTCTAACCTAGGGGAGTCTTTGCCATTAACCGGTGGGAGATCACCTGTCTTGATGCTGGGCAGTGGTGGAGGGAAGATTTACTTTCTGCCATCGACAATCTTGGTTAGTGGTAAGAACGTTCATCCTTTGAAACTGAAAATTTGAGTTAGTGATGCATGTGACATCTGTGTTTTTACTGAACATTCTGGTTGCATCTTAATCATGGGACAGTAGAAAGAGCATTGGATTGTACCCCCGGCCATATCAATATGCTCTGCTGTGTGACATGGAGCTACTCTCTTTCCCTTTCTGGACTTTACTTTCCTTCTCTGAAAAATGACATAACTGATTGTAACAGATAATCCCTCCTGCTCAAAATACAAAGCAAGGAAAACAGAAAAGAAAAAGAGAAACCAAAACTAATGTTTGAAATAGTCACCAGTACAGCCAAATTTATTTCTGCTAACATTTTGAGAGTCAATGGGTTTTTTATGTGTGTACCTGATTCTTAAAACCTTAAACCCAAATTTAGGAACTGAAAGTTCTGGAGCTTTGTAAAGATAGATTGCGATTTGTTTGTCCTCCCACTGTGAAGCGCTTATTGGCACTCAGATTTGCTGATTGGAGGATCTGGGTGAGAATCTGATTTCTGTTTTCTGGCAACAAGGTATCAACAAAGAAACAGGCTTTGTTTGGCTCCTTGAAGTTCCCACTTCCTGGGTGCAGTGGGCACTAGGGGAGAAGCAGGGACTTCATCACTGATTCTTATACTCAGGCCACAGAAAGTGGGTGAAGGCCTCAATAGACGGGTAGTTATTCCTGTTTTGTGGGTTAACCATGTCGCTTTCCACCTGAAACATCATGTGTATACTAAAGTGTTTACTTTTTAATCTGCTCCACATCAAACCGTACATAATGTCATTCAAATATTCAGGGAGTGTCATCAGATGACTTAAAAAAAAAAGTTAGGCTTAGAAATTGCAGTTCGTATGGTACATAATCCCTTGTGTAGAAGGATGGAAGAGTCCATTAGGATTTTTGTTGCTTTTACAGCTGAAGGAAGGCATGGAAATCACAATTCAATTTCGTCATTCTTTTTGTGTAGAAACTGAGGCTTAGAGGTGGTAAAGATGATCCCATGGTTATAGAATTTGAAGAACAGAGCCAGAGCGAAAACCAGGACTGTTGAACTTGGTTATGCAAGAATGCCTGTGGGAGTGCACACGGGAGCTGGGACCCTAGCACGGGGCTTTGTCCACAAGGAGGAAGGGATCCCTTATTCTGTGTGCCCAGAGATGGTACTTGCTTACCAATCTATGGACGTGCAGGGCTGTATCTTTCCAGAAAGCGTGTCTTTCCTAATACAAAGTGCTCAATGTGCTTGAGTCAGCCTATGCTGTGCAGTCCAATGTGAATGAATAGTACTTCTCATCTGTGTTATTTGAGGAATTGCCACTGGTCTTGGTGGTTACCCTTCCCTTGTATGAAAACCTTGCGGCTCACAAAGCTTTTATTTTCACCTATATTATTGTTTGGAAGGCTTGTAACACAAAACATGTTCGCACCCTGGGAAACCCAGGAGGTGTTCTGGGTGTGGATTGTGATGTCCATTTTGCCGATGAGGACATCGAGAGCAGTGGAGTGGGGTGATTACCTGGCGTCACTCAGCTCAGAGTGTCCAGGTCTGAGCCAGAAGCAATCATTAGGGTCAGAAGGGAGGAAAGAGCACCAGGGTTGTTTCTGCCCCCACCATGCTCCTAGGCATATTAAATATAAAATAATAAATTAATGTGAATCAAAAAGTTTGATTTTACAAAATCAAGAAAACTTTTTCTCCTCTTTTGTTTTCCTGCTGAGGGATGTATGGTGGCAAACTTCCCCTTCTCTCTTCTGCGATATGTTGAATACGGGTTGTGTTATTAAATTTGATTTCAGCTGTATTTTTAAAGACACAGCCTGAGCCTTGAACGGCTTTTATGAAGCTCACAAAAGGGAAGAAGATTCTAGTCAGGTATCATTTTTCTCTCCCTCAAAGGCAACAAGAATCTTGAACTTAAATTTCATCTTTAGAAAAAACTGACACAGAACGGAGTGATACTGTGGATGTGTGAAGTGCTTTCTTCACAGCCCTGAATGTACGTTGTTTGACAAGGAAATCTCAGTTTTAATGCACTCTTAAGACTTTTAATGCACTCTTCGTCATTAACATCATAACATTTTTGGCACTTCTTCAGCTGAGGAGAAGCCATGGGTTGAGTCAGTACTGTTTAATAATATATACCTATGAATTCTAATTGAAGTACAAATGCTGAATTATTTCGCCTAAGAGAGCCACAGGGAATGGCTCCCTCATTGACGTCAAGAAAGGAGGTAATGGGGCTACCTTACCAGTTCCTTATTCCAAAGCATCAACATTCTGAGCTGACGGACAGTGGTACGGCTGAGAAGTGGGAAAAAGCTGACCTGTTCTCACATCCTGAACTCTTTAGGGAAACAGAAGCCATTGGCAGAAGCTCCACACCACAAGTTTATGTTACAAGCCCTCTCTGCCCTCTGTCAAGAAGCCTTTGAGGTGAAGTGACGTCCTCACATATTTCTAATTGCCCACCCACAAATCCTCTACTTCCAGATAATTTGATGTTTCCAACAGGACACAGATAGACTTTTTTTTTTTTTTTTTTTTTTTTTTTTTTTTTTTTTCACCAGACCTGGTTGATTTCTTCAAACACATCAAAACAAGTAACATCAACCACTCATTGAGCTCACTGCTGGGTGAAGCTGCAGACTCGTTCCGTCAGAGCTTCCCCCTTACTGCTTCCTCCTTGTAATTCAGTGTTTTTGGTGCCCACTGCTGACCTCTGAGGCCAGGCAAAGTCAAGCTGGGAACAATCTGACTATTGATTCTGTTTCACTCTACAATAGATGGCATCAGCTGTGAAAACTTGGGTCAATGAGTCACCTCTGGCTTCAAAAATCTTGTTAAGGGCCTGCAATAAAAATAACCAAACAAGATGTTCCTATCATTTTTTTTTTTTTTTTCTGACACGTTGCTGGGGAGGAGAATCTAAATGAATGCTCCGTTTAGTCAACATATGACATCTTTTCTAGTTATTTTATGTGGTACATTTAGGAGAAGGGGAAAAAAAGGTGAAGATGTGCTGTGCCTTCTCTTTTATGTGGTAGAATGGCCACAGAGGAGACCCAGGCTACACCAGAGTTTGACTGTCTTTCCACCTTAACAGTCCCTCTTCTGATGATCTGATACCTTCTGCTTTTGAAGCGCGAATCAAGTTTGAATAGATAAGGCCAAGTGCCCTCTTCATTTGAGTCTCTATTTCAACAGCAATTTGGGTGTTACCTATTTATATGGGAATCTTGCCTTGGGCCCCTCTCATCAGACTTAGGTGCCTTCCTGCACGGTGGCAGTGTGATGGCACTGGTCCTAATAATCTTATCCAGACCCAAGGTAAACACTCCTCTCTTATTCTAAGTTTATGTTTTCACCTCTGAGTTACTCCTGCTGGTGGGTGGAGGTAGAAATAGGGAATGGACAATAAGCATTACCTGATATGTCTCGTCTCTTTCTACTCGTTAATTGTATATTCCATTGTTTCAAAGGTTGTAATCATGGTTGGCTTTATAAAGCTTTTTAATGGTCTTGAGGCACGTAGTGATCCTATGTAACTACATAATTATCTTGAGAGACACATCAATATTATCTTCATTGTGTCAATGGGAAAAACAAACAGGCCCAGAGAAGGTGATGTAGGAAAGCCCTGGTCATTTATGAATTCATTTCTCAGAGAGTTTTTGAGTGGCTGTGTGGCAGTAGGCCTAGGGAGATATTTAGAGATGAGTAAAATTTTACCCGTTCTTTTAAGGAGTTCACATTGGAAAACATAGGTGTAAACAAATTATCCACTTAAAGTAAGGTGAATGTTACGGCAGAGGGTTGTGATAGAGGTAGGAGAAAAGACCATGCAAGTGGGAAAGGAGTGGTTGCCGGTAGGGAAAATCTGGAGAGAAGGTGACAGGTAAGCTGGGTCTGGCATGCCTGACCTGCCATCAACACACATGACCTCACATGGCATCACAGTGTCCTCAACGGGAAAGTGTTGCATTTGAACTGAATGGTTTCTTGGGATCTAAAAGACACAGCCTTCAGAGAAAATGAGAGTTCATAAAGTTAGTGTTTTGGGGTGGAGTGGAAGGAGATAGGCTTGGGAAAGCAGTTTAATGAGTGCTGTGAAAATCCGAATGAATACCAGTTAAAGAGTAAGTTTTATTGTATCCCCTTGCAAGGAGGGGTGTGATTCGAGTGGATAGTGTGAAGCCCTGAAGGACTGAGCTTCCTTCTGAAAAGCAAAGGCGTAGCTACTCTCAGAAATAGGTGAAGTGAATTCATCGTTCAGACGAAAGTCAACCGGCTCTACCAGCAGCATATCCCTCTGCCCACGAATCCATGAAACTTTCTACCCTGCATGACCTGAAACCAATCTACTTCACTCAAATGATCACGCTTTCATACCAGAAATGGGAATAACGGCAGTCTTCCAGCACATAGGTATGTTGTCTGAAAAGCTTAGCCTTTGGTAAACTCATTCAGTCTTTTAATAAAGTCAGAAAGCCACGTAATGCTTTAGTAATGACATCTTTTCTAATGTCAAACAAGGAACAGAAGGAATCATTGAAAGCAAACCATCTCCAACAGGAGTTAATTGGGCCAATTTACCTCATTTAAAACCAAAGGGTC